TTATTGTTGTTGTTGTTGTTGTTGTTATTATTATATTGTATAAATCCGGTACATCGGGCTTTCGAGTACATTATGCAGGCCAGGTACTTTGGGACCGACGGATTGTAGCCAATGCATTGGGCGCTTTGGATGTGTCGGGTATATTATTGTAAGAATCGGGTACCTCGAGTTTTCAAGTACATTGGGTGTGTCGGGTATATTGTATGAATCAGGTACATCGAGTTTTCAAGAAGTATATTAGGTGTGTCGGGTGTGCGATATGAGTCAAACGTATTTTGCAGGAGTCAGATAAAATGTGTTAGTGGAGTACATTGGGTGTTTTAACTAATTGTATTTGGTGAATTGGGTACATTGTATGAGTCGGGTTAAGTAATGTGTTAGTGGGTACTTTGGGTGTTTCAACTGTAATGTATTTGGTGAATTGGGTACATTGTATGACTCAGTTAAATGTGTTAGTCTAGTACAATGGATATTTTGGCTGTATTTGGGTGAATAGGGCACATTATTGTGTTAGTCAGGTAAAATATGTTAAGTACCTTGGGTGTTTATGCTACAATTGGGTGAATTGGGTACTTTGTATGATTCAGGTACATGTAAAAGGTGTTAGTCAGGTACATTGGGTGTTTGACTGTAATGTATTTGTTAAATTGGGTACATCTGGTGAATTTAGTACATCTGGTGAATTGGGTACATCTGGTGAATTGGGTACATCTGGTGAATTGGGTACATTCTTTGTTTTGGGGCACAGCGCGTGAGTGTGCCATGCCTGAGTCATGACCAGAACTACACAGCAGCTGTCGTTGTTTATATTTATCTATACGTTGTCCTGAGAGTTATCTGATGTGACCCACATCATGTGTTCCTGGTTAATTATAGCTTATATACACGGCTTTAAGTAGACGATGAGGTCGGTGACTTTATCAATGTGATAAAATGAATACCAGGACATCTTTGTGAAGTAGTTGAAGGTCTCATGTGATAGATGTGAGAATTTCCTAAAAATTGTGAACCAGGCAGTTATACGGTAGAATTGTTACAGTTGTAGTGACTGGTCGTGATGATTATTGTTGTTGTTGTTGTTGTTGTTAGCATTATTATTATTATTATTATTATTATTATCATTATAACTATCATTAATATTAT